ATTATAAATTTTGATTTATTACAAATTCATGATGTAATATGAAGTCCTTTGTGATTGGAACAAGTTTGCGCGTCTGTTTGATTTGCCAAGAGGCTTAAATTTGCGTGAAAAGTGCGTGCACATTTGTGGCATTGAAAAATCGACCGGTGCCGATAATATGCGATTGTAAAACACTCTCAATCATTAAAACTTTTGTACTTTTTTTGCTAATTGTCATCAAGTTTCACTTTTTATATTTTGTAATAAATACCAATATAATCGCCCTCAATCACCGCGCCTTTTTCGTTTTCTTTGTTTGTTTTCATTTTTAATGTTTATAAAGTTAGCGAAACAACATCAAGCAAAAAATGTCGCATGTACCCATGAATTTGCCGTTTTTTTGCCGTTAATTAGTTGTGGAAAAAATAATTTTGTCGCTCTGGTATTTTTTTAGATATAAGGTGTTTTGCTAACTTTATATAAAGTTAGCGAAGCACCCCTCCAAACTCAAAGACAAACAACTAGACTTTATGTCAAAATTTTCCGTTTTTTGCCGTTCTAAGATGAGCTAGTTACTTTTGAAAAAAATATTTTTTTTTAAATAAAAAAATAATATTTTTTGCAATTTTTTTTTTAATGTTCAATAATTTTGAGAAGAAAAGGATAATAATATAATAGAAAAGCAAACCCGGTTTCTTTATGTACCACTTTGAAATTTAAACAAACAATAATCACCATTGTAAAAATCAAAAAATTAAGAAGCTTTCTTATCACAATCAAACACACAATTACAAACAATTAAACAAAAAAAAATTAAACGACAAAATCAAAAACAGTTTTAGTGCACAAAACAAGCCAAACGGCAAATTATGTCACAAAAAAATTAATTTTTTTTATTATTTTTAACCAATTTTTAAACCGCTTTCCAAGACCCTATTTTTTTAATAAGGCTGTTTAAACAAAAACAAATTTAACGACAAAATCAAAAACAGTTTTAGTGCACAAAACAAGCCAAAAGGAAAATTATGTCACAAAAAAATTTATTGTTTTTATTATTTTTACCAATTTTTAAATCGCTTTCCAAGTCTCTATTTTTTTAAATAAGGCTGTTAAAAAAAAACATGTTGAAGCAGACGACTAATCTAAGAAACTGAATACCTAAAATGAAATGTAAATAAATGACATGTAATTAAACATGAATTTAAATAGAGAAATAATTATATATACTTACCTAAATGCCTAAATAAGATTTACCTTATACTTACCTTACATTTTACTATTACTAACCTTATAATTACTTTCTACTTGCCTTGTTTTCCCTTTAAATGAAATTCGAGTTTACTTACCAATTTACCTACCTTTAGTTTTTAGCACCACCCTAATGTAAGTAAATACATGGTTACAGTATTCTAATGTACCTATGTGCATGCGGTGTGTGTATGCCTACTGCAAGCACGGCTTTGTCCACGCTCTCTGGTACACATGCACACATACGTATGTTCATAGGTGCAGGCGAAGAGCTTACCGTTTTAATGTTGGAATTTGGAAGTTTAGGTAACTGCAAATTAGATGTAAGAAGAAATATTATAAAAGGAAGAAAATGAGAAATTAAAATTACAGTCTATGAGTAATCGATGCAATCGGCGGAGTTTTTCTTTTATGCGGATATTTAAGCGACAGGCAATGTTTTAAACAGTTAATTTGTGCTCCCCTAAATAAAAAATTACACTTAGTGAAAGTGAAGCTTTATTGCTAAAAAACATTAGCAATTTTTTCATGGCGCCCAACGTGGGGCATAGTGCAAATTAAAAATTAAATACATTATTAAAACTTATTAAAAAGTGCAAGTGAGTGCTTATATAAAAAACTAAAAATTACTTTTCAAATAAAATTTTGAAAAAGGTTAAGTTCAAAATTTAAAACTAAACTGCAATTGTATTAAAATACAATCAAATAAATATTTTATGATATAAATACATATATCAAAAAACAACAAAGATTTAAGTAAATTTATTGAAACAATTAATTGCCTGTCGCGGTCGTGTGTGCAAAAACAAAATACATACATAAATTGATAGTGCAGTGCAGTGGCTGAAAATAAACAAAAGCTTAAAATTTTAAAGTGTACCTGTTTTAAAAAATTGTTGAAACAAACCAAATAAAAAAGATTATAGATTGATCTAAAAGTTTAAAAATAATACAATAAATAAAACAGTGTTTAAAACTAAAATTAAAAAATACATAAAAGAGAGTTATTAAGTTTTTTAATAATAGTGCAAATAGCAAAATTTACCTGCGCTCCTAGCTACACACCAAGCGTTCGTATATACAGTGGCGCACAAAACTATAGCAGTGTGAAACCTGAAAATAAAAATTTAAATTATTTGAATAAAGAGGTACTTACCCAAAATACTTTAAAAAAAAAAAAATAAAAAATTTAAAGAGGTTAACTTACCCACAAGTGCGTTACTCAATATATTTTTAAAACAAGCAAAAGTTTGATACTTACTCGCAAAAGGCGCTAAGTACAAAAAAAAGCAATTTGCGCTAGAAACTGTGCTGCACACACACACACACATACACAAAAATACTGCTGCTGATTAGCCAGTGCCGTTTTCTGCTCAATATCGTTGCTGTAATTAAGGATTGTACAAAGTTTTCGCCAAGGAATGAAGTCCAGCTGTTTACTGTGCAAAAAGGGAAGTTGAAGCTGGAAACGACCCAGTCCATACAGAACAGGTATTGAGTGCTAACAATTAAAAGCTGTTGAGGTTGTTGTTTTTTGTTAAATTGCTGCAAAGATCACCCAACAAGCTTTAATTTTTGGCATCTCTTGTATTCACTTTGAAATTAAATTGTTTGTTTATACAAATTTCGTGAAACAAGATTTCGGGATTGTTTAGTGAAAACTACCTCGTACAATTTCCGACAAGGCTCCGATTACCAAAACTGTCAAATATTTTTCGAAAGCTATACTGCTTTAATTGTTTGGGAAAATCGTTGACCATATTTTTTGCTCACGGTTAGGTCTTAAAAAACTTTCGACATCGCGTCTAGTTTTCCCAATTAAGGGATTATAAGCTTTTATCTCTTGATTTGCGCCTTTTTTTCGATAGTTCTGGTGAAGTTTCAGCGATTTTTTTTCTTTTTCGTATTGCCACGTTGAAAACTTCCAGACTATAATTTTGTACCAAGTTACTGTGCATAGCGAATCAAGATGAGTAAAAGTCAGCCAGGCCAGGTGGAAGACGCTACTTCCTTAAAAAGACAAAGGACAATTTTAAAAAGAAGCATAGCTAGAATTAAAACGGGAATTCATGATAAGTCACTCTCATCAGACCCGTCGGAAGTTGAGTGTCGACACGAAATGCTGAATAGTTACAGCGAAAAGCTTCTAGCGTGTCAGTCCGAAATAGAAGAGATCGATGAAGATGATGAGCCTTGAAGATTTAATTGTTGGAACCAAGGCAATGTTAAAATCCATATTATCAGAGAACAACAAGCACAAAGCTTCTGACACCTCCTTCACAGCGCCTCACAGCTCACGACTTCCGAAAATGTCGCTGCCCAAGTTTCGAGGGCAGTATTCGGAGTTTAAAAATTTCATGAGTTTGTTTGAGAGCCTCGTTCATAACAACCCTGCGCTTTCAGACATTGAAAAATTCACACATTTAGTTTCGTGTTTGTCTGGTGAAGCCTTGGGAACGGTGAAGGCCTTCCAAATGACGGAAGAAAATTACCCGAAGGCGTTGCCAAGCCTGAAAAAGGTATATGATAATAAATGTCTCATATTTTCGAATACAGTTGCGAAACTGTTTGAGTTGCCGAAAATACAAAAGGCATCGTCGCTTTCGCTGCGGTCAATGATCGACTGTATATGACTCCTTGTTGTCTTTGGGTGATGATAAAAATATTTCAAATGCAATGTTGATACATTTGGTAATGTCGAAGGTTGATCCCACTACGCGGTCAAAATGGGAGGAGCAACTTGACTACGACAAGCTTCCGCTGTGGAGTGAGTGTGAAGCGGCTCTCAATAAGAGATACCAGCACCTCTCATCTGAAGGAGCGTCGACATCGTCAAAATCGCACGACACCCAAAGGCAAAGCAACAAGAGTGCTGAAAAGCCAAAATCTTCTTTTGTGGCTGCGAAAGCTAAGCCAACTACTTGTTTCCACTGCAACTCCAAAGACCACTTTCTAACCACCTGCCCTAAATTTAAAACTCTCTCTCCTCAGCAGAGATTCGAATTCGCGAAATCGGTCCCATTGTGTATAAATTGCTTACGCAAGGGACATACGGTTTCTAAATGCAAATTAGAACGGTGTCGAGTTTGTAACCGGTCACATCACACCATGTTACACCAATACCCGATATCGTTCGAAACAACACCACAACCTTCGACCTCACAAACTATGCACACAGTGAGCGTGCCTGATCGCGTCATGTTAGCGACAGCGGTGGTCAAGGTAAAAACTTGCTCCGGTGATTATGTGTTAGCTCGTGCGTTACTTGACTCAGGGTCTCAAGTAAATTTCATGACTTAAGAGCTGGCACAAAGGCTGCGAATTCGGCGAGAGAAGGCGACATTAGATGTCATCGGGATTGGTAATGCCACCCAAAAGGTTCGGTCAAAAGTTAGTGCAGTCATAAAATCCCGAGTTAACAACTTCGAGTTTCTCGCAGATTTTTGGGTAATGGGAGCGATTTCGGCAAATCACCCAGATCGGGCTGTTGACACCACAGGTTGGAAAATTCCAGCTAATATTGAATTAGCTGATCCGGGGTTCTATAAGTCCTCGATCTTTTGTTGGGAGCCGAAACATTTTTCGATCTTCTGTCGGTTGGGCAAATTAAAACTGATCCAAGGTTCCCAACACTGCAAAAAACACTTTTGGGTTGGGTTATTTCAGGCAAATACGTCTCCCACCAAAGTGAGCATTCTCAAGCTAGCAGTGCCTTATGCAAAGCTGAAGATGATTCTGAAGCAATTGATGAAATTGTCCAAGGGTTCTGGGCAATGGAAGAAATCCCTTCAGAATCACAAGCTACAAAGTTCACTGCCGAACAAAGGGAATGCGAGGAATACTTCGTTAAGACTACTGAAGTCTTACCGTCGGGACGGCTTCAAGTAAGATTGCCGTTCAAAACTGACCAAAATGCGTTGGGTCAGTCATTTGAAACCGCAGCTCGGCGGTTTCAGGCGCTGGAGAGACGTACGTTGAAAGATCCAGAACCTCGTCAAATGTATCTGGACTTCATGGAAGAGTACTTGGCATTGGGCCACATGAGCCCCACTGATAATAAAATCTCGAGTGAAGCCCACTATTTCATTCCGCATCAGTGTGTCTTAAGACCACAAAGTACGTCGACGAAACTCCGCGTTGTTTTCGATGCGTCGAGTCGGACGTCAACACAAATTGCGTTGAATGACATTTTGATGGTTGGACCGACCATTCAAGAAGAACTTTTTTCGACGCTACTTCGCTTTCGAATGCATAAGTATGCTATTACGGCGGACATCACTAAGATGTATCGCCAAGTTCTTGTAAATGAAAATGATAGAAATTTTCAATTAATAGTGTGGAGAAAGCATCCATCCGAGCCTCTGCAAATTTTTCTTTTAAACACCGTGACCTATGGCACTGCGCCAGCTCCATTTCTCGCAACACGGTGTTTGCAGATGCTAAGTGATGTGAATGCACAAAAATATCCACTCGGTGCCAAAGTAATAAGTACCGATTTTTACGTTGATGATCTGTTAACCGGATCTGAAGATTTTGAATCCCTCGACAGAGTTCGCTGTGAGGTAACTGACATTCTAAAGTCGGCAGGATTCCAGCTAGCTAAGTGGTTCTCTAACCACCCAAGTTTTTTCGATAGTCAGAGTCTGGAAAAATCGTTAAGTTTCAACGATTCAGACTCCACTAAAACGCTGGGAATCCACTGGTCGCCAAAAGACGACTTATTTCGGTTTAGACTGGATGATACATTTGATGAGTTACGAGCTACAAAACGAAATATTTTATCGGTATCTGCCCGACTCTTTGATCCTCTTGGTTTGCTGGCCCCACTAGTGACCTCAGCTAAAATCTTATTGCAAGAGTCGTGGATTAAGAAACTAGATTGGGATGAGTCCATTCCGTTGTATCTCAACAGCAGTTGGCAGAATTTTAAAGCGAATTTGTTGCAGTTGCCTTCAATCAGCATTCCTCGGTTCATTTATACTGAGTCGAGTGCTAATTGTCAAATACACGGCTTCGCCGACGCCTCAATAAGGGCGTATGGGTGTTGTATTTACATTCGAAGCCAATTCGCTAATGATGTTAAATGCATTCTGCTAACTGCAAAATCCAGGGTTGCTCCGCTGAAGACTAAGTCTCTTCCTCGTTTAGAGCTCCTGGTAGCGCATCTTTTGGCCAAGTTATGGTCACGCATTGCGCCAATGTTGAATCGACCTATTGACAGCATAACATTCTGGACAGACTCCGAAATAGTTTTGCATTGGATAAAAACACATCCATCAACGTTGCAAACTTTCGTTGCAAATAGAGTGTCCGAGATTCAAGAGTTGACTCAAAGTGCTTCGTGGCGTCATGTGCCAACTAAACAAAATCCTGCGGATCAAGTGTCTCGGGGTTGTAGCGTGGATGAAAAACAGAACTCAATATGGTTTTCTGGCCCACAGTTCCTCTTAGAAGACCCCGCAAGTTGGCCAATAAATACCCATTGCGAATTAACGCCTGAAGAACAAGCACTGGAAAAGAAGAAAAACGCCAGCGCCTTGGTAGCAGTGAGTGACAACCGTAATCCACTCTTAACTGTGATTGAAAAATATTCCTCGCACAAAAAATTATTACGAGTTTTTGCCTATATTCTGCGATGGGTCTTAAAGGTGAGAGATCGATCCACCAAATATGATCCAACACCATCGGCACAAGAGTTGCAATTAAGGTTCTTAAAAATTGTTCAAATAGTCCAATTTAAGGAATATAGCCAAGAAATTACCAAATTCTCAAAAAATCTTCCACTACCGTCGAGCTTGCAAAAGTTGAATCAATTTTTGCATGAGTATTCAGAAAAGTCCTTGTCGTTGAAATTGTTACGAGTAGGCGGTCGTTTATTAAATGTGCCTATCCCGTACGATGCCAAATTTCCTCTATTATTGAGTAAAAATTCGCAGTTCGTGAATTCGTATATACGGTTCCTACATTTGCGCAACCACCATGCAGGTGCGAAAGCATTGGTTGCAATTTTACGTGAAAAAATTTGGTTAGTCAATGCTCGAGAAGCATGTAGTCGAACCGTGCGAAACTGCATACATTGCTTTCATTATAAGCCAAAATTGAAAAGCCAAATTATGGACAATTTACCAGCCGATAGGCTGCGTGCTCTACGACCTTTTATGGTTTGTGGGGTAGATTTTTGCGGTCCAATTTACGTCACACAAAGGATACGGGGTCGCCCCCCGGTGAAAATGTACATTGCGGTCTTTGTGTGTTTTACCTCAAAAGCTGTCCATTTAGAACTTGTATCTGATTTAAGTTCTGATAAATTTATTCTCGCCCTTAAAAGGTTCGTTGGACGCCGGGCAATACCAGTGACGATTCACTGCGACAACGCGACGAATTTCGTAGGAGCCGATCTGAAGCTCAAGGAACTGAAGGAAGCGTTTCTGAGTCAGAAGGAGGAGGTAACCCAATACGCAGCGGACGAAGGGTTCAAGTTCACCTTTATACCTTCCAGGGCTCCCCACTTCGGCGGGTTATGGGAGGCCGCAGTGAAGTCGGTGAAGCACCTGCTCGTACGAGCCGTAGGCAACGCGAGTCTCACCGCCGAAGAAATAGAAACGCTGCTCGTCGAGGTAGAGGCCGTGCTCAACTCGCGCCCAATCGCTCCACTCAGCCAAGACCCGAACGACGGCGAGGCTCTAACTCCGGCGCACTTGTTGATCGGTTGCCGGCTCAGGGCAATGCCAGAGGAAACGGCACTCCCGGAACCCAGCACGCGCTACTCCGACAGATGGCAGCATGTCTGCTCAATCAAGCGTCGGTTTTGGCAAACGTGGTCCAGGAGTTACCTCCTGAGCTTGCAGGAGCGCAACAAATGGCAGCACCCACAGCCCAACGTAGAGGTAGGAGAGCTCGTCGTCGTTCACGAAGACAACGCCCCGCCCCAGCAATGGATCCTAGGCCGAGTGACAGGTACGATCGCCGGCCAGGACGGTAAGGTGAGAGTGGCCGACGTACAAACCAGAACCGGAACAATTAGGCGTCCGATACACAAGCTTGCCGTGTTACAATTAAACGACAGTTGAAGAATGCAGATTCGTTCAAGGTGGCCGGTGTTGAAGCAGACGACTAATCTAAGAAACTGAATACCTAAAATGA